CCTCTTCCCTCCCCCTCCCTTGTCCCCCACACCCTGTCCCCTGCCCTGCCTGCCACGTACCCCATCCTATGCCATAGTAGTAGAGGTGCTTGCTTCCCTCTGAGCCAAACACCTTGATCACCAGGCTGTACAGGTGCAGCCCCTCAACCAGCATCCAGGCAAAGGCGCTCAGGAAGAAGTAGTGCAGCAGCGTGGCCAGCACCTGGCAGGGGACCTGGCCAGCGGGAACGTGGGTGAGGGCCCCGGGTGCCATGGCCCTGCTGCTGTCCCACCCTCCCAGCACCCACTTCCTGGCCCTTCTGGTCAGGGTGCCTGGCTTCTTCCCCGGGGTCAGGGCTCCCACCAATGCCCAGTTGTGGGGTCTGGACGCAACTCCAGTTGGCTGTGCCCTTGGGAAGGACCCTCCTGCCCACAGCCCCGCATGCACCCAAGCTGGGGGACCTGGCAAGCAGAGGGTGCAGGGTGGCACTCACCGTGCCAGGCTCCACGTGGAAGCTGATGAGCAGGAGGACCTGGGCCACCAGCACAGCGCAGGACAGATTGGCGTGGATGTGGTAGCGCTGGTTCCGGATGGTGCTGACTGAGCTGCGGGCGTGGTGGGGTGAGGCTGGGCCACTGGTCCCCACGCAGCCCCTTGGGGCTCCCTGCTGCGACCCCAGACCCTTCAGGTTGGGGGCCCCATTACGGTCTATCCCCACCTGCCACTGCCTGGCTCTGTGCCTCCCAAATCGCTGTGCCCTTTTCTGTTTCTCTCTTTATCTTCAGCACTGGGGATTAAACCCAGGGTCTCTGACCAGAGCTGCACCTGCAGCCTTTTTATTTTGATGCAGACTCTTGATAAGTCACTTAGTTGCCCAGGCCAGCCTGGAATTTGGGATCCTCCTGCCTCAGCCTCTTAGACTGCTGGGATCATAGGTGTGTGCCCCCACACCTGGCTTGTTTTCTGTTTCTTACTCACCCCTGCCTCAGGGTCCTTCACCTGCCCTGCAGGGCTCCCCCTCTGTCCTGCATATGGCACTGTCCCTGCTCTGGTCTACCTGGTGTTGCTCCCAGATTGGTGGGGGCACTGAGTCGGGTCAGTCAGAGGGACTGCGTCTTCTGGACTGGGGCTTTCTGGGCCTTTCTGGCTTGGCTGCAGCCAGCATCCTGTGGCACCCCATCTTTCCTTCACCCTGAAGCCCAGCCCTGCACCTCAGGTCTGAAGGGACAGTGGGCCTGGTGTGGGGCGACTCACGACAGCACAGCGAACGTGACAAGCGTGGCAGCCAGGCAGAGCACGGACAGCGCACAGCCGATGTAACTGATGGAGGACAGCGCCACCTGGTGTCCACGCGGGAGCTGTGGGAACACAGAGGCCTGGGTGGAGGCGGTGGGGTGCAGAGCCCACACGCCCTTCCGCCTGTGCCCGCTGATGCTGGGCTGGGCCCTGGTTCTGAGCATTTACAAACAATCTGAGGGTGGCTCTGCTCTGGGCGTGAGGGGCATCGGCCTGCGGTGGCCGAGGGGCTCCTCTCCCTCCCAGCACACCAGGCCTGGCTCTGCCGCCCTGTATAAGGTCCCTGCCACCCTAGGAGCAGAAACACACATGGTCTCCAACAGCCGCAGCCCGGTCCTCAGCTCAGCCTGAGTGACCTTGGGCTCCCTGAACAGCAGGCTGGGAGGACATGCGTCCCTACCACCCACATTGCCTGCATCACCCGCTGCCCACTCTGCCCATCAGGCTGGGGACAGAGCTTCATGGCCATCCTGAGGCCCCTGGGCAGACACTGATGTAGCCATTTGTCCACCCACAGCCCGGGGATGTCAGTGAGGCCCGCACTGCTCCAGGACCACGAGAGCAGGCAACTCACATGGTGCCCTCACCAGGCTGGTGGCTATTGTCAGACCTGCAGCTGGGTGTGCCCACTGGGCAGTATGAGGCGGGCCGCACCTGGCTGTGCCGCCAAAGGCCACGGTGGCTCTCTGGGGTGGCCCAAGGGCCTCCCGGGGACTCCCACACCCCAGCCTCTCACTCTCACTTCTCTCAGGACCCACTACTCTGGTCTCCTCCACAGGCTTCGGGGAAGTCCCTCCCTTGTCTATGTGGGCAGCAGCATCTGGCCCTTCCTCTCCATCCAGCAGTCCAGCCCACAGCAAGGGCCGCTGCCACATGGGGTTCCCCAGCCTCACCCCAGCACCCCCTGCTGGCCACCCTTGGGACTGAAACCCCAGCTCCTGTGTGTCTGGGTCACCCCACTGGCCAAGCCATCACTCGCTGGGTAACCTGCAGCTCCCAGGGACCAACTTGTCCACCAGCACAGGAAGAGCTCCTGAACCCAGCTCAGTGAGCTTGCTGGGAAAGCCCCTCTTCCACCATCTCGCCAAATGCACACGCACCTCGGTCAGGTTCCCCTGGCCGCTGTCTTTCCACTGTGGCCCCCGAGGTCCCTGCAGCCCCAGCCTGTGCCCACAGGCAGCGCCCACCCTGGCTGTAGTCCCCCAGTCTGTGTGGAGAACAGCTCACCTGGAGGTCCACACAGGTGGAACCCACCCTCTTCAAGGACCGGGAGGGAAGAGGGAACCCCAGAGGGAGTGGGTGTGAGGGGCATGAGCTCCCAGTCCAGAAGCCAGACTGGAGCCCAGGAAAGATGAGCTCGGCCTGGAGGAGAGAAGGTCACTGGAGATGTGCAAGGAATCGCTATCTGCTCATGAATTCTCCCTCAATTTCTTCAATGTTCATGAGAATGTTCATTTTTAGCAGGGGTAATTTTAAACCATTTTCAAATCAACCCCTTCTGGCAATGAACAGATGTGATCTGCTCCCACAATGACACCCACAGACTGCCTAAATCCGTGTCATCGCTACTGAGCAGTGACAGGTTTGTAATCTCGAACTCATCTTGGGTTTAGGGGCACAGCCCACACCCACTGACTCCGCCTCCCTAGGAGAAGACAGGTCGTTCCTCCCCTCCCCAGGGGTCTTCCTCAGTTCTCAGCCTGCTGTGACCCGGGCTCCCTGTCCCCCACCAGGCTATCTCCATGTGCTGAGCCCCCCTCAGGGCCACAGTCCCTGACCCAGCCTCCAGTCCAGTGACAGTGGCTGGCCGCTTCCCAGAACACGAGCAGACTGGGCACCCATGGACCGGGCTGCCAGACCCCACCACCTGACCTGCGTTCCCTGCCCGGGCTCCAGCTGCTCACCTCCAGTGGGACCACCTGCATGAGGATGGCGAAGTTGGTGAGGTGTGTGCAGCGGCAGACAGAGTAGGACAGGTTTCCTTCCACGCGCGCACAGCCCTGGCTCGACCACACGCCTTGCCCGGAGCTGAGAACGCAGCAGAGGTGGTCAGAGTGGTTGACACTGCACAGTGCCACTGAGGGCCGGCAGGAAGCAGAAATGCTGGTGCCTGAGAGGCCGTGGGGAGGCACAGCCCAGCCCGGCACTGTGGGGGAACATGGGGAACCTTGACCCAGGCCCTGTGCGGGGCCTTTGCCAAGTCACAAGTGATGCTAGACACAGGCCACAATGCCTCACGAGGTCTGTCCAGGGAGACAGTCGGCACCACATGTAGTACAGGGAGCCCACACTGAACACAATGCCCCAAGCGGCACAGGCACAGGACAGAACAGGATCTCCCAAGCGTAAATCAGCTGGCCTCTGAATCATCCAGGATACCAACGCGTGCTCACCTCCAGGGGACCTGTGCAGCTCAGGGGGGCTCTGTTTTTTCCTAGAATGCTTTAGTTTTGAGTCCAAAGGTTACACTTATAATTTCTTAGAGTATAAACCAAGACAAATATGGCCTGAAGCAAATGTGCTTGGATGTGCACAGGTTCGTCATGGTGAGGATTTTCCTGGCCAGGATGGTTTTCCTGTCTGTACTTCAATTTTAGATTCCAAAAGGTGCCCAGCACGCTTCTTTGCAGAACTGCGGCTGTGAGCTGCCAGCAAAGATGAGTCAACTTCCTCCGCCCAGGGCAGGCCCTGGGGAAGACGTTATAACCCGGGAGCAGCTGCAGGCCCCGTCTGCCTCAGTGAACCCCTGCCACACGGATGCAGCAGCAGCTGCTGTCGTCACTGGGGTGGCCCGGGGACCCCATCCCGTGCCTCTGCTATCAACGTCCTCAGATGGAGTACACAGGGGGGCATTTCTGCTCAGGGAAGCTTGTGTCCCTGCATGCGTGGGCCATGAACAGGCCATTCCTATGTGGCCAGCGGTGGTCAGGGTGGTTTTGGTGATGAATAGGCAGTGCTCCTGGGGCAGGAGGCATTCAACAGAGGGCAAGGCCAGAGCCTCGGCACAGCTGAGAGCCCACACCCACTGAGGACTTCAGGACAGCCGTGGGCCCCAGCACCATGCCAGGGGGCTACTTTGCCCAGGACCTGGACAGGAGTCAGTGCTCCAAATCAGGAATGCCACATGCTCATCTGAGGTACCCTGGGGATTGGCAGGCAGCGAATCCAGTGGGCATGATCAGGAAGGTAAAGAACAGCCCTTCTAAGGGGCATCAGAAGTCATGAAAGTCACATAATCTGGTGTGACACTGCCCAGCAGCGCCACGGACACCATGTGGGTGCGCCCCTGGCTTATAGTAGCTGGTGAAGCAGGAAGCAGCTCCCGGCCCTGCAGAAGTCACTCAGCCCGGGGCTGCCCCTACACAATCAGAGAGGTTCAGGAACGGGTACGGGCCTGGGAAACATTCCCTCAAGTGCATGGGTAAGCATGATGTATGTAAATCCAATAAAAGAAACATTTGCCAATGGGGCAGAATGCAAAACAAAATGGGGTGGAATGATGCAAAAAATGTTACATGAAACAAAACTGCATTTCCTCTAAGCATAAATATAAGTGATACAGAAATTAATGAAATGACACAAATAACCCCCCACCCCACCCTGTGGCTCCTGCCACAGGGAGGGAGGAAAAGGACAGGGGATACAGGTCAAAGGGAACATTAGCTTTTTAAAACAATGTGTCACTTTGAAAAGAATAATGTTGAAATATTTCATGTAGTTTCTTGGAGGATAAATCTAGAAAAAATGACCCAGAATGCCAAGTCCAGAGAAAATATCTTCCAAAATGAAAGAGAATACTTCCTCAGAGAAACCGTAACTGCATTCATTTCCAGCTGACTTGCCCTGCAAGAAAAGTCAGAGGACCAGACAGAAGCCTGGGTCTAAATGAAATAGCTGAAAATGGACTGAATAAAAGCCTGGCTACCCTGTCTTATCTGTAACTGCTCTGCTCCACTGGTACAGTACACCTATGGTACCAGCAGAGATATACTGTTACCACAGCCCTGCGCAATGGGCAGGGGAGCTGTGCAGGTGTTCCTGGAGCACCTAAAACGAGAGACCAGGTGGAAGTGGACCATATAACACAAGCTTAGGCAACCACCACAGAGACATGTAGAAGAGGTGTAAATTAGAAGTCAATAGTGGAGACACAATAGTACCATAAAAGCTACCTTAAAACACAAATGAAGCCAAGAAAAGATGACATAAAAAAAAACACAGAAAAGAAAACAAACTTTGGAAGCACCTAGCAAAATAGCAGATTTAACCCAACCACGTCAATATTTATATTAAACATCAACTGTCTAAACATACCAACCAAAAGCAAAAATGTCACAATTGGACAAAAACAATATCCAGTCTGAATTCAAAGACAATAGAAAAAAGCTCATAAAACTTCAAGGAGAAAGAGCTGAACTACTGTGACGGCTGGTACATGACGTCCTCTGGTCAGGCCGGGCCAGTTCTCGGGCGTTGCAAGGCGTGGATATGAGCGTGGGAAGTGGCGTCACCCTGCAACCAACCCAGGCCCGGGCCCCCATGTGCTCTGTGGCACATTTACACCAGCTGTGATGCAACGCAAACGCTATGTAAATGAGCAGGGCTGTTCGGTATTGTCTGGGGAATAATGACAAGAAAAGGAGCCTGTACATGTACAATACAGATGCAATTTTTCTTTCCAAATATTTTTTGTCTCTGGTTTGTTGAATTCATCAATTCAGAAACCAAGGATACAAGGGCCAAGCATAATGGATAGAACAAGCTGGCAGGAAAACAATAAGGACACAGGCGACCTAGATGTGACTATCCATCAACTCGATTTCACGGGCGTTCATAGAGTTCCCCATCAAGGATTCATTTTTTCAAGTGTACGTGGTATAGTCACCAAGACAGAACATATTCTGGGTCATGTAATGACTTGTAACAAATTTTTAAAAATCAAAGCTACAGACAGTATGTTTTCAAGGAATAAAAGATTAATTAGAAGTTCACAGCAGAAAAATCCTGGGAAATCACTATTTGGAAATTCAGCAACACATCTCAAAATAACACACAGGTCGAAAAGAAAGTCACAAGGAAAGTTTTAAAACATTTTGAATTTGGTAAAAGTAAAATAATATACCAACATTTGTGGGATGCAGCAAAATGAGTGCTTCCAGGGAAAGTAAGATCATTAAATGCTTACATTAGAAAATAATAAAACCTCATATCAATTATCTAACCCTCCATGTTAAGAAATTCTAAAAGAAGGACAAGATAAACCTTTAGGTGGTAAATAACTCCCCTCTTGAAGTAAATGAAAGATGAAGACAAAAAAAATCAATGAAATCCATAACATAATGGAGAAAAATCAATAGCACCAAAAGTTGTTTCCTTGAAATAATAAATAAAATAGGCAATAAAATAGATATATAAATAGATAATAAAATAGATTTCCAACAAGAGTGACTAAGAAAAAAGAGAGAAGATACAGATTACAGACATAAAAATGCAAGAGAAATCACTGCAACCCGTAGACACAAAAAGGTCACTAAAGGAATATGACACAAGTCTATGCCTGCTCATAAATTAAACAACTTTGATAAATGGAGAGGTTCTTTAACAATGTATGAAGTGCTAAGACTCATTTAAAAGGTACTAGGAGACCTAAATAGTCCTGTGTCCATAAAAGAAATTGAAGGTGTCGTTACAAACCGGCCCACAATGAAAACTAAGGCCCTTCTATCTGACTGGTGAATTTACTAAAACGTTATGGAAAAAATAGTAGGAATTCTATACAACCTATCCCAAAGGCATTCCGAAGTGTACCTTTCACGCAAGCACCACTGCCTCACCACAAAAGCCACAGAAGCTTAAAAAAAAAATACTACGGACCAATTTCCTTCACGAACGTAGACACAAATCCTCAATAATTCCAATGAATTAAACTCAGCAAAACAGAAAGGACAACACACTGGAACCAAGTGGAGTTTATGCTGGGAACGCAAGCTGGTAAAATATTCGGCCTTTTCCTCACCCTGCTACCTGGAGATGATCACGGGAGGTGGGCGGCCAGAGCACCTGAGCCAGCGCGGCCTCTGCCTGGGCTCTCCGCGGACAGCGGCTTCCG